AAGTAAATTGATTGAAACCTGTGTTATGTAGCTCCAAAATAACTGAAATATAATTTATAATCTTTAATTAATAAGATACAAAATCCATTTGACTAAGCAGATAAAAAGACAGAGAGTGTCACTGTCATAATGTCCTTCAGTTAAAGGAGGTTGAAATATAAACTATATTAGCATGCAAATTAATAATCAAATTCATGGCATCCAGTTTTATAAAGAAAAGGAAAGAGAAAAGACATCCATAATTGATAATTAAGAATCACAATAAAAACTGACAACATGCAGAAGTATGTAATGCTTTACTTACAATTACATTTAAGTGCATAGACAGAACTTTATTTTTCAATTCATTGTGTACATTTTCATATGTATTGCATATCATGCAGATTTTGGAAAAAAAAAAGATCATAATAGATTATTATCACTGAACATAATTATATGATTGATGAATTTATAAAGTTTTTATTCTTAAATTTTTAATTTATGCCCAATACTTAAAGTTCAATATGAAAAATTGCAAAGATAAAATCCATCATTTTGCAAAAGAAAGTTATGATATTTTGGCTTGGCACTTCTTGTTAATGAGATATAACCTTCAAATGTCAAATCCCTCCATCAAAATTGAAAAGATTCAAGTCAATGCTCTAATCAATTCTGTGAACTACAATATTGTGATGGCCAGTTGGATTGACAAAAATGCTGGATGGATATTATAAGAAGATAACTTGATGCACTCCTTGTATGTGTGCATCTTATCCTTTTTAATTAATCATACAAATTAACAAAAGTTACAGATATCATATGAAATAATATATATATACATCTAATGCAAAGTTCTATTTATTAAATGAAATAGTTTACCTTTTATTTCCTTCCAAATGTAAATGACATCTTCTGTTTTGATGTAGAAGTCCTCTTTGTTGTCTCCCTCATCTTCTGTTTTGATTTAGTAGTTCTTTTCATTGTCTCTCACTTCTTCTGTTTTGATGTAGAAGTCCTCTTTGTTGTCTCCCTCATCTTCTGTTTTGATGTAGTAGTTCTCTTCTTTGTCTCCCCCATCTTCTGTTTTGATGTAGAAGTCCTCTTCGTTGTCTCCCTCATCTTCTGTTTTGATTTAGTAGTTCTTTTCATTGTCTCCCTCATCTTCTGTTTTGATGTAGAAGCCCTCTTCGTTGTCTCCCTCATCTTCTGTTTTGATGTAGAAGTTCTCTTTGTTGTCTCCCTCATCTTCTGTTTTGATTTAGTAGTTCTTTTCATTGTCTCCCTCATCTTCTGTTTTGATGTAGAAGTCCTCTTTGTTGTCTCCCTCATCTTCTGTTTTGATTTAGTAGTTCCTTTCATTGTCTCCCACTTCTTCTGTTTTGATGTAAAAGTTCTCTTTGTTGTCTCCCTCATCTTCTGTTTTGATGTAGAAGTACTCTTTGTTGTCTCCCTCATCTTCTGTTTTGATGTAGAAGTCCTCTTCGTTGTCTCCCTCATCTTCTGTTTTGATTTAGTAGTTCTTTTCATTGTCTCCCACTTCTTCTGTTTTGATGTAGAAGTTCTCTTTGTTGTCATCCCTCATCTTCTGTTTTGATGTAGAAGTTCTCTTTGTTGTCTCCCACATCTTCTGTTCTGATGTAGAAGTCCTCGTCGTTGTCTCCCTCATCTTCCGGATCCACTACATCATAAATGTTATCAATACCCCACCCCTTTAAGTGGTCAGACTTAAGTGGTCAGACTTGAGAGGAAGTAAAATCTAAATAAATCATAATTAAAATGGACAAGAATTTCAACTGGCATTTCTATGTAAAAATGAATTTAAGGATTATCTACTCTAATTAAATGATGTAATATTTTGAAAGTGAACAGGTCTGATGTAAAATAAAACTTTATAGCGAGGGTAAATCTGGGCCAAATATATAGAAAATAAACCATACCAAAACAAAAGTTGGGATAAACTAAAAATTGAAAAAGGGCCATTATTAAGTTTGCAAAATTAAGTTTATGTTTATCTGCTCTTTTTATACCCCCGCACAACAAAGTTGTAAGGGGGGTATACTGGAATCAGCTTGTCCGGCCGTCCGGCTGTCCGTCGGTTTTTTCTTGTCCGCCCAATAACTTAAGATTCCTTTGACCCTTAGTCTTCATATTTGGCATGGAGGTTAGTCATGATTAGTAGATGACCCCTATTGATTTTGAGGTCACTAGGTCAAAGGTCAAGGTCACAGGGGCCTTGACTTCAAAAAGCTTGTCCGCCCAATAACTTAAGATTCCTTTGACCTACAGTCTTCATATTTGGCATGGAGGTTAGTCATGATTAGTAGATGACCCCTATTGATTTTGAGGTCACCAGGTCAAAGGTCAAGGTCACAGGGGCCATGACTTCAAAAAGCTTGTCCGCCCAATAACTTAAGATTCCTTTGACCTACAGTCTTCATATTTGGCATGGAGGTTAGTCATGATTAGTAGATGACCCCTATTGAATTAGAGGTCACCAGGTCAAAGGTCAAGGTCACAGGGGCCTTGACTTCAAAAAGCTTGCCTGCCCAATAACTTAAGATTCCTTTGACCTACAGTCTTCATATTTGGCATGGAGGTTAGTCATGATTAGTAGATGACCCCTATTGATTTTGAGGTCACTAGGTCAAAGGTCAAGGTCACAGGGGCCTTGACTTCAAAAAGCTTGTCCGCCCAATAACTTAAGATTCCTTTGACCTACAGTCTTCATATTTGGCATGGAGGTTAGTCATGATTAGTAGATGACCCCTATTGATTTTGAGGTCACCAGGTCAAAGGTCAAGGTCACAGGGGCCTTGACTTCAAAAAGCTTGTCCGCCCAATAACTTAAGATTCCTTTGACCTACAGTCTTCATATTTGGCATGGAGGTTAGTCATGATTAGTAGATGACCCCTATTGATTTTGAGGTCAAAGGTCAAGGTCACAGGGGCCTTGACTTCAAAAAGCTTGTCCGCCCAATAACTTAAGATTCCTTTGACCTACAGTCGTCATATTTGGCATGGAGGGTAGTCATGATTAGTAGATGACCCCTATTGATTTTGAGGTCACCAGGTCAAGGTCACAGGGGCCTTGACTTCAAAAGCTTGTCCACCCAATTACTTAAGATTCCTTTAACCCATAGTCTTCATATTTGGCATGGAGGTTAGTCATGATTAGTAGATGACCCCTATTGATTTGGAGGTCAAAGGTCAAGGTCACAGGGACTTTGACTTCAAAAAGTTTGTCTGCCCAATAACTTTAGATTCCTTTGACCCACAGTCTTCATATTTGGCATGGATGTTGATCATGATTAGTAGATGACCCCTTTTGATTTTGAGGTCACTGGATCAAAGGCAAGGTCATAGGGACTTTGACTTCAAAAAGTTTGTACACCCATTAATTTAACATTCCTTTGACCCACAGTCTTCATATTTGGTATGGATGTTGATCATGACTATAAGGTGACCCCTATTGATTTTGAAGTCACTGGGTCAAAGGGCAAGGTCACAGGGACCTTGACAAAACTTAGCAATCCACTGGCTTAGTAACCTCAGATTTGGCAGGGAGGTTGTCCTTGAGCTCTAAATGGCCACTGTTGATTCTGACAAAGTGGTATGCGGGGGTATTCACGCCATGATAGTGGCAGTTCTAGTTATTTATAATATAAACATACAAAAATGTATATAACCTATTAAACCAATAAGTAAGCTACATTTCTTCTTCAATAAGTGCAGCTAAAAATCAGCTAAAAAAATATTATAATACAGATATTTTGTCATCCAGTATTTTGGAAATACACAGGAAATATAACAATGATTAAATTACCAGGCATGCTTCGCATAAGAGGGATGGAGGGGTTTCATCATCATCCCTACCTATACATCTGGTTTTGTACCACATGTTACAGTTGTCACAACACCACATGCATTCACTAAAAGGTACAAATGTGCAAAAATAACTGTCAAATTGCATTTTAAACCTCACCTGTTGAGGTTTTGTGATTGCTTTTCTTCCGTCAGTCCATTGTAAACTTTAACTTCAAATCACATCTCCGCATAAAGTCAATTTCATCCAAACTTCACAGGAATGTTCCTTTGGTGGTCATCTTTAAAAATTATTCAAAGAATTTAATTCCATGCAGAGGACTCTGGTTGCCATGGCAACCAAAAGAAAAAACTTTAAAAATCTTCTTTTAAAAAAACCCAAAGAGCTAGAGCCTAGATATTTGGCATGATATATCTTTTAGTGAGTCTCTACCATGTTTGTTCAAATGAAAGCCCTAGGGTCAAAATTGGCCCAGCTCCAGGGGGTCATTACTTCTATATTTAAATCCTGTATATTTTGCCATGTCTTGATTTTCGCTGTTTCTTCTGGGGTGAAAGAGGCTCCACTTAAACCTTTTGACCTATTTCTCAGGTGAGCGATCCAGGGCCCTCTGGGCCATCTTGTTTAAATAAAGACATTGACTGATTTATTTAACAATTTATGCATACAGAAAACACCACGGTTATTTGAATCTCTTTGCAATGTATGTCTTCTTGAAGTGACTGATCATTCTAATGGAAGTTTTTTTCCTATGCACATAATGAATTGTACTTGTATAAACTTCCTCCAGCTTTTGACAATCTGATATCTTTCTGTCAAATTCTCAGCAGTTGTATAATAAAAGTAGTTTTGTGTAAGAAATTTCATCCAACAGGTAATCTATGCTTACCGTACATACGCACTTGTCAGGCGCCCATTATATTACGCACACCTTACTTCAGGCTCATGATTTGGGGATGTTTATGAAGACCCTCATATAAGAGGCAGTCATATTTTGGCTGTGCAAAATCTTTCGACAATTTGTCAGTTTTTGACAAAGTGCAAACTCATATATACTTAAATAAAAATGAATTATATAGACACGTCTGCATCACTCTGCTTAAGTAAACATTGTGTAAAAATTTGTCAGTCTAGACAAAATTTACCCTACTGTCTATTTATGTAAGAATAGGAAAAATTTTATTACGATTTTTGTTACATTTTTAGTCCCCTACCGGTTTAACCGGAGGGGACTTTAGGTTTACCCTCCGTCCGTCTGTCTGTCTGTCTGTCAGTCCGTCAGTCCGTCCGTCCACAAAACTGGATCCCGCGATAACGCAAAATGTACTGAAAATATTTTTATGAAACTTGCTATATGGATAGATGGCAGTATGGAGATTATGCACGTTTTTTTTTTCTTCCTATGTTGAAAATTCTGGTTGCTATGGCAACAAATAGCCTGAAAATATGGCAAATTGAACACATAAACTGGATCCCGCGATAACGCAAAAAGTACTGAAAATATTTTTATGAAACTTGATATATGAATAGATGGCAGTATGGAGATTATGCACGTCTTTTTTTTTTTCTTCCTATGTGGAAAATTCTGGTTTCTATGGCAACAAATAGCCTGAAAATATGGCAAATTGAACACATAAACTGGATCCCGTGATAACGCAAAAAGTACTGAAAATATTTTTATGAAACTTGATTTATGGATAGATGGCAGTATGGAGATTATGCACGTTTTTTTTTTTCTTCCTATGTTGAAAATTCTGGTTGCTATGGCAACAAATAGCCTGAATTTCAAGATTTCTGATTTAAATTTTTCAGCTTTTTCACTATAAGTTCTTTATTTCTTAAGGTGTTTACTTCAAACTTTAAATATAAGTTTCTGGTCATCAACCACTTCATATGTGACAAGGTTTACGACTCTAGCACAAAAATTATCAGTATTACCTCCCTTGAACTTAGAATTTTTATGAAAAAAATGTTGTCTTTTTTAAATAACTTCTTTATTTCCTAATGTATCTACTTCAAACTTCATATATATGTTTCTTATTATCACTCAACATTTTTGAGAAGGTTAAATACTCTAGCACGACTATTTCCAGAATTATGTCCCCCTTGAACTTAGATTTTTCTCGAGAAATTGGTATTTTTCACTCCAACTTCTTCATTCATTATAGGATTTACTTTAAAATCCCACATCGTAATAATATGACAAGGTTGTATAAACATAATTTCCTTACTAGGCAGGGAAACTTAACACATTACTGTGATATAGACAAACTTAGAACTCAAAAGATTTAAGTTCATTCATGTCATTCATTCACTGGTAAAATTGACTGGCCAATGGCCCATCAGAAAGTTGCTGGGGTTCTAACCGGTAGGGGACTTATGGATTGCTTGCAATACTATGATAATTGCTTGTTAAATAATATATTTTAGTGGGACATAGTTTTCAAACTTGTGCTGCAAACAATGAGTAAATCAATAAAACTAAAAACAAAGTCATTTTCACCAATTTACCCATCAAATTTGACGCAGGCTCACCAATATAAACACAAACAAAAATATAATAAAAACAATTTATTTTATTTAATGAAACAAACCCTGAAATCAACGATAGTATCATTAATATCTATATTGTCATTTATTATCAACATTGCTTATTCCCTATTTTTTTCTTAAAGATTTAAATCTATGCAGTTCACTTTTCAGCACAAACCAACATGAGTTTAATCAAAACCCCTCAAAGCCCTCATTGTCACTCTCCCCAAAATAACAGCCTAAACTCGTCACTGGATAAGTTTTTGTTGTACACCTACTGATCGTCATCACTTTCAGAGTCACTTTGAGCTGGCTGTCATGCTCTACTGTTAATCTTAGAGTACTTTCAGAAGCTTCCAGCCTTTTCATTACGACTTCAAACAAAGTCACTAAATAGTTCATTGTCTTGATCACTGTCCATCGAATTCGAAATACCATATTTCAAGAACAATTTGATTATCATTTCTCTAGGTATTTCATTCCAAGATTCAACAATCCACTGGCACACTGTAGGCAAGTCTGGCCTCTTTAAATTTCCTGCTTTTGTCTGGCCTCTTTAAATTTCCTGCTTTTGTTAGCTGTTTATCACCATTCACCACCCACGTGTTCCATTTTTGACACACAATAACTTTAAATGGCTAATTTAAACACACATCAAGAGGCTGCAACATGGATGTACAGCCACCAGGAATCACGACCTGATAAGTATGGTTGGCTTTCAGTCTATTCTTAACACTCACAGTCCTAAACATATCCCATACCATGAGTGACTTTTTGTTTTGCATTGCTCTAGGGCGCTTGAACCACACTTCGTCCTAGCCACTTAAACAAAACACCCTCATCTACCCATCCTGTCTCTTGAACGAGCACAACTAAGTCCGAAGAAAGCTTTTCCTTTGGCATTGTTTTTCTTTCAAACACAACTGAAGGTTTCAGTTTCGTACCGTCCGCTAAACAAGAGAGAATCACGGTAAAGTGTGCCTTTTCACCTCCTGAAGTTTTCACTGACACAGTTTTAATTCCTTTGAGTTCTACCGTGCGATTACTCGACATGTCAAAGAACATGGGTGTCTCGTCCATATTCCCAATAGCACCAAGCTCAAATTCACAGTCTTCACTGTAGCGAAAAAAAGAATTAGTTTCTTTCTCAAAAGATGATGTTTTCCAATTTTTACAGGGAGTTAGAACCAGAAAAATGTTATTTCTTCTGGTTGATTTCCCGCGCCTCCATCTTGTTTTCCTGTGATGTCATGAGGACTGTAACTTTGTAATGCATTAAAGAGTTATAAAAAAAATTTGTCTATCACATCAAGATGCTGTGTTATGTGTAAGACCCATATTCCTACCTCCAAGGTCAAGGTCACAGATAGTTTGAAGGTACTTATGCTCATAAAAAGAATTATTTGAAGGTACACATTAGTTTTCACACTGTAACATTGTCATGCATTGAAAGATTTTAAAATAACTTGGCATAAATGTCTACCACATCAAGATAATGTGTTGCGTCCAATAAGCATTTTATTTTTTTGGCATCCAGGAACCACGCCCCTTCTTCAAAGGTCAAGGTCACACATATATTTTGAAGGTTTATGCTATAACAATTAGAGATTACAGGTACAATAATACAAAGAACAATAATCAGCAATTGGTTACTTTCATTCTCTTTCCTTTTCATAATACCTGCAAGCTTAAGAAACCTTTTCAGGGGCATTCGTCACTTGGGTGACAGCTCTTGTTAAAGGTATATTTGTGAAGCACTGTGTTTGTACCCTATTTCGTTAAGTGGGCAGTATGCAGACCAACCATCACTGTAAATTGTACTTCCTGGTTGTACATGGCGTTCAATTAGCGGCAGCAATGTTTTCACTCGGCGGTCATGAACAGGGTAGAGGATCAAAGTGTTGCTGGCCCTTTCTACCATCCCAAACACCCACACTCGTAGTCCTTTGTGGGGATTTCCTTTATTATATTTCACTTTTCGTCCAAAAAGACTTTCATCGATTTCAATTTCCCCCAGATAAGGATTTGTTTTTTAATTTCCTGTCATAAAATTCCTTTAGAACCTCTCTTATGAAGCTTCCCCAGTCCACGGCAGTACTGCCCTAAGTGACACCACTAAATTTCGGGCATGTGTTCAGTGAAAATCCGTCTAAGTAGGATTTTAAAAACATCATAACGTCCTATATGGTAGGGTGAGATTTCTCAAAGAAAGAATTCATCCTTACACTTTGCTCGTGGTCGCGGTGTTTGTTACATCTTAGTACAGCCCCTAAAATATTCCTTAACCTTTTGGCAAAGGAAAGTGTTCCATTGCATCCTGATCTGTTACAAGGCATTGGTCCATTGAGTAATCCGTTACGTACACACCAGTTAACAACGAACGAATCATCTTACGACATAATGTAAAAATTCCACGGATTGTAAAAGTCCTGAATATCAATATTACTAGGGTCATCTTTACGGCTACGGTAGTTGCCGGAAACCCTAAGTTTCTCTGCTGTTGCTCTTGTACTTTATATACCTTGGTCTTGGGCTGCCAGGATTTTGACAGATCTTGACAAGCACTGGCTCACCCAAGTTAATTTGAGTTCGAAAAAAATGAGGCCCGTCATACTTTAGTAAGAAGGAAAATACTCTTTTTCAATGTTAATAATTTTTTTAAATGATTTATAATAAGTTAAAAAAAAAAACTAAAAAAAACATGGGGCTCAAACCCATGCTTGTTGAGTGAGACTAACTTCTAGTCCCTGTAGTAGTCCTGGTTTAAACTATATATATATATATATATATATATATACACAATATCTGCCTTCTGAAATTGTATATTTCTATCGGTTTTTAAACGTGATATTACGATGTAACATGAGATTGCCGGTAAAAATGCCCAATTGGTCTTAAGTTATGACAAACTATCAAATTTCTATAAGTAAAATATATAAAAGATATTTCTTTGAAACTTTGATTAATATTGAGCATAATAAAAATGACATAAACAGAAAGAAAAACAATAGAGTAAGGGGCCATTGGCGCTCTGTTAAACAATAGAAAATAACAATAGAAATGGCCCCTTATTCCAATTTGGCTGGACTTCCGTACCTACGAATGATACAGTGTGTGACTTGGTGAACAACGGGTAACAGTAAATTGTCTTTGATCCTATTCATTCCATTTTTACTTGTGTGTCTTTTTTAAGCCTTGTGTGGCTCAAAAGATCAAAGGAAAAGTCACACAATGTATCATTTGTAAGGACGTCCGTCTGTGCGTCCCCACTTCATTGGTGTCCGGACTGTAACTTTGTCATACATTGAGGGATTTTGAAATAACTTGGCATTATAACTTTTACATTATGGCAATAAAAATAAATAGGCACACACTCGTGTCCAGACTGTAATTTTGTCATGCATCGAATGATTTTAAAATAACTAGGTATAAATGTCTACCACATCAAGATGATGTGTTGCGTCAAAAATTACGTCCCTTCCTCAAGGTCACACTAACATTTTGAAGTTTCTAATTATCACAATTAGATTTAATAGGTACACACAATGTTGTCCAGGCTGTAACTTTGTCATGCATTGAAGGATTTTAGAATAATTTGGCATAAATGTCTACCACATCAAGATGATGTGTCGCGTCTAATAATCACATCCCTTCCTCAAAGTGAGAGATATTGCACCTTTCATAATCATCAATGGATTCAATCAAACTCAGTGTGCAATTTTTCAGCTTTAACTGTTGTTGTCTTTGCCATATAGGGGTCTACTTTTTCCCAGATTTTAGTCATTGCAATTATACAACAGATGTTATATAAACATGAAACTACTTTTCATCAAAATAAATATTTATATACTGTAGTTTACATGAAAATATTGTTGCTCTTACCTATGTACATTGACATTTTGTTATATATGTATATTGTTTTATAATTGACAGGTGGGATTTTGATAACATATAATATGCTAAATGTTAGTCTGTAACAGATTTTGACTTTAGTATTTATTTTACCACAAATGTTGATTAATTTTGGTCATTTGTTTTTACATACCGTAGCTATTTTTAATATTTTATCAGTGTTACCATTATTCTTGTAGGCTTTTACAGTTGTTTTTTTGTGTGCATGTGGGAAAAACTATGTTATGCACTAGTCAGTTGTAACTTGGCTTCCCCCAACCCCCAGGAATTGCAGGTTCTTTGACTTTGACTTCTATATGTGTATAATAATACCTCAATACAGGATTTGAAGTTTTTTTTGTTGGGTTGGGGGGGGGGGGAGGGTTCACCAAAAATAAAACAAGCACATTGAGCAGATACTAAATAAAAAGGCTAATAGGCTAT